CTCACCTAAAGCGCCTACGACTGAGCCTAGGAAAAGGGAGTGATTGCGGTGTAGTGGGTAAACCAAGCACCGTGTGGCAAAAGTTGAAGTGTGTTAGATCACAGAGTGAGTGGCTACTCACTTTGGAGCCCTCCACTCTCCAAAGGCTTAGTCCTGATTGCGATCTAATTAGTGCGAGGGCGCAGACGAGCAGGAAATAGGCGCCGAATAGCGCCAACAACAAAAACGAATGTCATATTCGTAATCAGGGCTCCAAATAACCCCTCAAACCACCACTCAAATTCAAATAACGCCACCCAATTTTTTTGACCCTTTTCACTCCTACTGAGGTTGCAATAGTGCATAGTGCCGAAAGTTTTCCAGTTTGTATCTACTTAATTACCATTCTAGTCTTTCACTATTTGTTGAACTATCTTTTTATTTTTACGGCTTATGTACTTTGTTTTTATAAATACGTTGTGATCTTTCAATTTCTGACCATCCATATGATTTCGAGTAAACAAATTTTAGTCTGCTCTTAACCAGTTGGGCAAAACCATGGCAGTGGATCTGGAAAGTGATAAGATCCTTGTCGCTCAGTTCTGCCCGGGATGGGTGCAAACCGACATGGGCAATATGGGTGGAAAAGTGGCTGCCATCACCGTTAGTTTTCTATGTTTTCTGTAAATTTCTTAAATTTCAACGGAACTCGTATTGAATTTTTTCCAGGTAGAGGAATCGACATCCGCATTGGTAAAGTCGATGTCAAAATTGACGAAAGAGCACAATGGAGGCTACTTTGATCGCCGTCTGAGTGTCATACCGTATTAGTTGCGTTCCTTGCCTTGCTTCACTTTCTTTACCTCTGCCTTCTCTTTTTGATACATTTTTGAATACTGCCTCAATAAGGGTTGCTGCGGAAATCACCTTATGGTCAGGAGTAAAACCTATTGTATAAGTTGACTTGTACGAAATAGTTTTTGCGGCTCATAACTCTGAGAAGATAATCCAAAGTAGTTGTTTTTATGGGTACCACTGTCCCGGTAGTTAAAAATCGTTATATGATTGTTTGTTTTTTGCTAAACTAATAAAAAGTTGTTGCTTAGCCATGCCTCATTTGTACTCTTTGTGTTTCGATGGCGGTCAAGGTTTCTGTTTCGAACCTCGCATTGTGAACGTGGTGAGCGGCATTTCAGGCAGTTCTATCTGGCGCTTGACGGGTATTGAGTCAGATTCCCTTTTATAGACGGCCTGGGACTATCTGCTGGTCTCCAGAAATGCATTCATATCCAGCGGTCGTCAATTGGCTCATTAGTTGTTGAAAGTAGGTGACCTGAGTTCCACCATGACAAGTCTTCCGGCGGCCAGATTTTTCTCTGCATTCTTCCACGAAGGGGGAACCTTACCTCCGTGGAAGGACAGGCGGATTTCCTGAGGGTGCTGACCGACGCGCAATTGGCAGCGAAAGAGTTGATCTCGGCAATCTAGCACGGCTCACTCTTACCGCGGTTGGCGGGGTACTTCTACTAACTATCTAATCACTCGCCGCAGGCCTGTACGTGGTGAGTGATTAGATAGTTAGTGGGCGTACCTCGCCAGAGCGTAGTGTTGAAGGAGGCACAGGGTCTCATCCATGCGGAAACGACGGGGTAGGAAGGGGTGCCCATTTCTAGATAAACGGCCCTTTCTTCTGGTTTCTTCGTCATCCCTGCTCCACTGATCACCTCTACCATAATAAGCCACCCTTTCATCGTGAAATCCGCCTTTAATTCATCCGATTCTATGAATAATGAGGCAGTGTGAGCGCTTGGAAGTCATGACCAAAGATCACTTGATACCAAGCGCTCCTGAATTCTGGAAGAATATGACGAAGAAGCGGCATGAAATCCTCTGTATTGCAGTCGTAGCGACAAGATAGTGTCAAGGGAAAATCGCAGGTAGCGGAAAGCGAAAGTTCCCATGACTTGTTTTCAAATCCGTTCATAAGACCAATTTCATTTTCTCCTCCTTGTTCTGTGGAAAGTCAAAGTTGAAGTACCAAATTGTTAAAAATTTCAGATTTTTCTTTTACAATTACCCGAGGGTAGTCATGAGAATTGGATATGCAGCACTTAAAAAAAGCGCGAAAAACCTGGAGGTTACGCGTTTTTTCGCCTTTCTTTTAGCTTAACTAACTCATATGAGCTTCTTCTGCAGAAATTATTGTATTATCCCCCACAAGAACGCACTCGATCCCTCATCACAACTTCAGGAGAACTCACTGCGTTCAGAGAACTCCACAGCTGCTCGTTCTCTCGACGAAATTGCCTTCATATTATAGAATGGACATTTTTGTGGAATTTTTTGATGTCTCCGTGACGAACCGCTCATAGTGCGAATAGAATTTCACTCTATATTCCGTGAACATCTGTCCTTCAGATGCCCGAGCACAAAAAGTGTGTTCGTTCGATAAGGCACAACAACTTCTCCAATAAAATCTCTTGTCCTTCTAGCTATCCGTAGAATCGTTTAGGAATTATTGTTGCAGACGCAAATGGCATAAATCAGCAGAAAGAAAAGATCGGTCCGTATACCTTCACTAGATTGCCTAAAAAGTTGATTTTCATAGCTCAACCGTGGGAACGTACAGAATTTGGCAACACTCGAAGATACACGATCTGAAGGAACGAACGGTCTTAGCACTGAGCAAGTCTTCCCCTTCGTGGTTCATTTCGCTGGGATCTGGTTGATGCGAAGACGGTAACTCGCTCAACCTTCCTCTCCGGTTCTTATTGTAAAAACTTGTGTACAAATGCATGCTAAAAACACCCTAGCGATCGCAGCTGGAAACCGGGCGCATGGCATATGCCGTCAAATGTCCATCGAAAACCGCTGTCATTAGATCTATGTGATCACAACAGTGATATTCCTCGTACGCAGTAATTGCCGAGCCCATACAAGAGATAAGAATAACAAGATTAAAATTTTTTGAATAGGTAACATAAGTAACAAAAGAGCAATATAACTACACGATTGGTCCAGCGAAAGGTATCGCCTACTGGGCTTATAAACAGTTCACGGAATGAACTCTTCAAGCGAGTACGCGGTAAGTAGCGCTTTGGGCAGCATAGCACTAGTACGAGCTCATCAGAAACGGATACAGCAGACTCGCAGCGTCCCCGCGGGTATCTCGACTGCCTGTCGCGTTGTTGCTCTTTCCTCGTCCCTCGCATCGTTATCGCCGGCCTTCATCTTCAGCATTCCAGCATGGGAAGCATCTCAAGCACATTCTTAGTTACCGTATCCTTTACAACGCAGAATTTGGAAAAACGATTCTTATACTCTCATTTTATGCGATTTCCTTGGAAGGTTTCGTGGGAAGGAAAAACGCTGTTACTTGATTCATCATTTCAAAATCCCATGCTGCTCCTAATTTCCTATTCAACAGAGTAGCAGGCATGTTTGTTCTGATCACTGTTGCTTTTTCGCTACATCAAAACATTTTTTCCCACCGGAACTTTAGCGCTGCCCAAGGCAGCTCAAATATGCCTTTTGAGAGTGGGCGGGAGCGTGGTCAAGGGTGCCCACATCCAGTAGTTTTTTAGGAAAGCCGATTCTCAAAGCTCGATTACATGGGTTCTTTTGCGAATTTTCGGGAAATGAGGAAGTTTACAAAAAAAATGACTCTGACGTGCAATTTTTATCGTCTACCTGTACAACGGAAATTAGGGATTTGGAAAGAGGTTACCTGGAAGGGGAATGTTCCAGAAAGTTATCCGTGTCCAAGTCATGTTGTCTGCCTCCTATTGTTTCAACCATAACAAATCTTAATTAATATTGCATTTGAATTGGTTTCCCTCATAATTATATACATCTAAATTCTTCCTCATGTATTTCCCATTTCCCATTTTTATAATAACTCGTTGCATCCTCTTGTACAATAGTAACACATGAATAAATAAATATTTCTATGGTAAATAAGTTGGCCTTAATTCCCCGCGCTATTATCATGGTACTTGACATGTTTTAGCTATGAATTCGCTGGTAATTTACAGCTATTTATTTTTCTAGACTGCACGGTGTTTGTGGGATCTACAAAACATGCAAATAAAGTAATCCAAAAAACAAATATAGTTTCTGAAAATACTGAAAGGCTAAACCGATTTCGCTTTTTTTCATATTAGAAGAATTTTGCTTCGAAATAAACCATGAATATTGGAGATAAAAGAACTAAACCTCATGTGCACGCCGCTTGTTTGAATGCCTCAGTCGCTGACACAATATGAGCTTTTTCCTTCTACTGTTAATGCTGGGCCGTCTTCTCGGAGGTACACACATACAATGCGCATCGTTGTTTCGGGATGTAATTCACTGAGGCGGCATTATGCATCAATCGTCCACTATAAATGGTTGGAGCTATTTCTGAGCGCTTCGCAAACTTCACATGATATACTCCATTGTGCGCCCGCATGATATTGCTTCCAACGTCGGTCTTCAGCGTCAGAATCCATACCAATGGACAACCCAGCGACATTTTATCGAAATTTTGAAGTATTTCCGCACCCTATCCCCGTTTTGACCTCCATTTAGCATCGCCTGGAAATTCAAATAAAAATATCACAATAATTTTCGTCAGACTGCTGGTGCTCAGTTTAAGGCTTTATCCTTCCAAAGCTTTCTTGCACAGATAAAGTATCTGACCTGATTCATCTACAATAATCGGTTTTTGTATCGAATGACATTCATTAGCTAGATGCGTTTATACCAACAAAATCCATGAGATATACAAGCTTATGTCTTCTTTATACCTGTGCTCTTAATTCTTCAGTGCCAGGAATCCCGAGAAAGTTTTGCGGTTCGAAGAACGCTGGTTAGTTTTCTCAGCCACCCTGTAAAATTTAATAGAGTACAACATTTTTTATGTAGCAGCCTAACTGGATATTACATCTCACGGCACCGAATCTATCGAATTTGCTGTTTTTCTAGACAGTTTGGCAGTAGCCAATTCTTCGAGGTGGAGGAATGGCTCGGACAGGATAGAAGCTTTGTAACGAAAAAAGGCAAGGGTACTGTGACGACACGATGGAAACGAGCCGGAAAGAATTGAATTTTGAAGAGAAACTATTCACACCGTGTGGTTATTCACTTTGTCTGCTGCCTCCTTTGGGATTTTAGTTATATTGAACACGGAGCACAGTTTCCATTGGAACGAAATTAAGCTATGATTGCTAAAAATGTTTAAGGTAATGAATAGAGGTGGTGGATGTGGCTGCGAGAGGGTGACATATTGAAAACCCACCATCGACATGGTTGACCCTTGTGGAATTGGAGTTTGATCAGATATTACTGTATGGCATTTCCCACACTTAATCTTGCAGTAAGCGGAATCCTCCATGACTGCACCCCAAGTTGGAAGCCACCAAAGGCCGAAGGGGGAGGGGAACGTATTATGGAAATTGAATGGGTCATGGTTGCGGAATGGGATAGTCTTACTGGCTTTTTCAGATTTCAGCGAGATTTTCAGCGTGAAATCGTAAGAATGGACAAAATTAGAGAGCTTTGTCCGTTCCCCTTAGTCTATCAATTCCCAGCTCCTTCCCCTCAATCAGCCAATTGGAGATTTGGGGAAGAGTTAGAACTGGATGGTCTGCCAAATAGTGGAGCATTTACTCGCATATTGGGGTAAGGGTGGTGTTGAAAGGCTGGTTGGTGGACGGTCTGTCGCAAGTGATCATTGCAGGGTGGCTATAGAGGGATTCTTAAAGAAAGAAAAAGCAAATGGCGGCGCGGCGCAACGCGTGCGGACAGAATGCCGTCGCAGCTTCGACAGGCCCGGGGAAAGGCAGGCAATG